CTCTCTCTCTCCCCATAAGCACAAACGCGCGCACTCACATTGCAGAGGCGATCTTCCAATTGTTTCATTCATATATTATTTTTGTCAAATCAGTGAAAACTCTTCTCGACCCATCTTCTAAAAAATCTACTACCTTAAAGGAGGCCACAACATCACAGGCACGTTACTTTCTCTTTTTAGGTCGTAAGCTACCCCCAACCATTTCCCCTCTTTCATGGGACAAATTCCCATAATGCCCTTGGGATAAGACTGCTGGCTGTTGCCAGAAAAAGTCTGCAGCTGTTTGTACTTATCGTCATACCGAGTTCCCTGATTTCGTCTTTTTATCTATAGATCTACCCCTCAAAATACCGTCTAAACTGTCTTAGACGGCCATCAATTGTCGAGTAGAAAATCAGTTGTCTTAGACAGGTGGCGTAGTGGGCAGTGTCATTATGATATAGAAAAAAAGCACATAAAAGGGGGGGGGTATGGGGGAGGGCGAGTGGGAAGTTGGGGTTTGTACAGTAATTGTCTTGGACGAGTTTTCTTGCTTACTTAATTGAACAAATCCAACCGTAGATCTATCTCACAATCATTTGTTTGTGACAGAGTACATCTGGAAGTTATCTGTAGAGATATTCACGGATGTGTGTGCCACTTCATCCGTGATGTAACCAGATTTCATCTTTTTATGAGATGCTTTCCTGATGACCAGCATGATCATCAGCAACAGAGACACGCCCACAAGGGAGCCGACCACTATAATGATAGTCTTGACTCTGTCGCTGAGGACCCCTTCCTCCTCCTCCTGCCTGTGGGGCGTGGTCGGGCCAGCACGAGGACATTCTGAGGCCACCACGGTGATCTGCTTTATGCCAACGTAGCCGGGGCTTTGGCCTTTGAGAATTTTGAATTGTGGCTGGGGAAAAAGATAAAGAAATATTGGAAAATTGTTGGGACAACTGAAATGGGAACGAACGTCTTAATCTTAGAAGTTAGATAATAAATTTGATTTATCGGAATTAACATTTCAGTACCCC